GTTTGATAGAAAAATATGCCCAGATCGAAATGCCGCGAAAGAATACAGTTCTGTGGAACTTTCTACATTACACCGAAATAAACAGTACTTATTTTACCTTATGTGTATTTTTTCTACTTAATATTTAGTAATGATGATTTCATTTTTATGAAAAATGGCAGTAAAGTTACTTAGCATTCTCGGAATGACCACCTAAGATGATCTCTTCTGAAAGCGATATTTCTGAAACTATAAATTAATACAGTCAAATACTGAAAATCCGCGTTGCCTCTCAAAATATAAACATTCAGTTTATAGGTTTCGGAAACCGCAACAGGGAGTACGAAAATTGAAGAACAAATACTTACCGGATAATGACATTATAATTACGAAATAAAATGAGTCATAATGGAAATACCAAATTATTGACATCATGATAAGTTTTTTTTTTCCTCCAGTCTGCATAGAGGTAAAAAGCAGATGATTCACTTAACTCTTCCTTCAAGTACACGATTCACATTGTTGTACTTTCTGAGTTTTGTTATTTCATGAGATTGTTTAGTGCAGATAAAAAATGCACTCATCATGATTTTGCAGGTGCTACTCCTCAGTTTATAGCAGAATCGTATGGAATTGCAACACGGACCGTGTATGATATATGGAAAAATAAAGAAAAGCTGTTAAAATTTTACAGCAACAGTGATTCTAACACCGGAAATCGTTACACGAGGCGAAATCGGCAAACCTCGTACGAGTGGTTTCGGCAGCGGCCCCATGATTGGGTACCAATTTCAGGACTGCTCCCGAGAGAAAAGGGAAAGCAGATTAATGCTGATTTAAAAACAGAGGAGCCTAATGTAAATGAATAATATAATATAATCAATTTACATATGTAATAATAACTTAATGCATATAATAAATTATTGTAATAATGTATACAATAATTTAATTAAACGTATCTAATACGCCTTATTTATTTTGACTTTTAGTCTAAATATCATGATTTATCTTTTCTGTCCCGAAATCCACACAACCTCTGGTCCCAAGCTTTGCGGATTTCTACTGTACTAGTATTAAACATAACTTCTCTAAACCTCTGCAGAAGACCGAACAATCTGGAACCCTCAGTAGTCGTCATAGAGGCGCTCTTACAAAGAATCTATCACATGATTATAATTCAGTAACAGTCATTAACAATGAAATTTTTTCTTTCTGTAATTTCAAAAAGGACTTATTAACACAAAATAAATAAATCACAAATTTTTGACTATAATTTGTAAAATAGCTCTGCTACATTTTGGTTTACAATCTTCAATGAGTAAAAATTTTCGCTCCAGCTGCTTCTTAATGAGCCAATTTTTAATTTTATCCTTAAAAAATATCCGGTACTGTACGTAAGATTAACTTGAAATTTAAACATATCATATGGAAACCATTTCGTTTGAAAAAGAAATAAAAAAACATGAAATTTTAAATATTTTGGGAAATATACACTATACAATTTTTGAATATTATTTTATGCCATTTTTGTAATAAATACTTTTTTATTTATGACATATTATATACAAATAAAATCGCTTTCATAATAATGTTTCCTATAACTATTTCCAAGGTTAAAAAAAATATATATATTGAATAACATAGTTCAAACTGAATAATTTGTTGGCTACTTGTTCTACTATTTGTTGGTAATTGTTCTAAATGCAACATCAGCAACACATACCTTACAAAGAATGCTGGGAACATTTCAAAATGTATCAATATTGTACTTTAAAATGTATGGCCCATGGCCTAAGAACACCACTGTAACATACATGGCTTTATCATATCATGTAGAGTGTTTTATTTTTACAAAGCACGTTTGGAACATTTCAAGAAGTATCAGTGTCAATGTTTTAATGCATGTTCCAAGAACACATTTGTAATATGCACAACTTTACACATCTTCTAGAGCATACTTTATGGAATCTGCTGAGAACACTTTGAAAAGCATTAGTATTTTACATTCTAAGAATATGGTTTTAACACGTCATGTAGAATGTACTTTATAGCACCTGCTCGGAATGTTTCCAAAAGTACCAACTATGCATGTTCTAAGAATTTGGTTGTAACACACACCACTTTAATATGCTGTGTAGAACATGCATCATAACATCTGCAGGGAATGTTTTGAAAAGTACCAAAGCTGTATGTTCTAAGAACACACTTTCAATATGCACCAGTTAATCACGTCTTGTAGAATGTTCTTAATACACATAACAACATCATAGAGCAAATGACAAGCCCTCTGAACGTTTCAGTGCTGCTTGGTAAGTAAACTCCGAAATAGTTCTGAAAAAATTGTATAAACACCCTCTGTATTCTTATCCATATTAGTTTTATGCCCCTGTAAGGAATGCTCAAGTAAATTAATCTTAAAATAATAATATGTATTAAAATTAATTTAATTGCAATGTATCTAACGAATAATTTTCATTAACATTTAGTTTTGTTCTAACCAGTAATAAAAGATGTTTTTAATACCAGTTGTTATGTAATAAGGGTAACACTTTTTAAAATTTTTCAATGCTTCATAGTTTTAAACTTTTCAAAAATGTTTTTGAAAATTTTAGCAGTAAAATTTTTTGATATTTTTAATTGTAAAAAAAATTTTTAATGTTAACAATATCGAAAAATAAGAAAAATTATTTTTTAATGATAAAGCCTTTACAAAGTATAATGCAATCTAAATTTTTAAGACTGCAGTTTTTAAATTTGCAACAGTAAACTCTTTAGAGGTATTATTAAACTGAAATTTTAAAGTCACTTTTTTTTTAATTCACTCTTGCCAGGTTATTTCTAAATTTAGGACAGAATTAGAAAAAGTCTGAAAGCCTGTTTTTACATATGTAATATTGCATTATGTGATTTCACCACATCACATCTCATGTTTCGCCTATTCTAAAAAAATTATATATTTAATATACTTTCATCTGTACAATTTGACACTCAGAGATATTTAAACTGCTTAATATTGTTTTACAAATTTAAGTAAGATGGATGATAAATTTGACCTTTTGTTGTTTATGAAGATAAACAAGACACAGACTTCGAACAGTATTAAAATAGTGATGAGATCTCCGTTTTTCAAGCTCATTTATTATGCTTAAACCTTGTTGTGAAATGGATTCAAAATTCTTGCACTAGTTTGAGATATATGCACATTTTAATATGTAGTGATTCTCTTTTTTCGTTTCAATTACTACAGAAAAAGTAGTGTCTCAGAGAAACTTGTACTTGTAGTTCAGGTTACATAATAAGACCTTGATATGGACATTAATTCTGTTTATGTTGGTGGAAATTCTAGAAACAAGAGAGGTGATGATCTAGCAAAGCTAGCCATGAAACTTCATACTGATTTAAATTTCCGTATTTCTGTTTCTCACTGGAAGAGTTTTTAGAGAAATGATGCTATCTGTATTTAGAAATGAGAATATCTAGCCTCATTAAAAGCACAATGTACCAAAAGTTAATTTTTCTATGGTTTTCATAGAATAAAAATTGATCATTTTTAATAGAATTTAAATTACTCAATTTTTGATTGGACATGGCACTATTAACCCTTTCAAGACCAAAAACAAAATCTTTCTTGGGATGTATTGTCCTGTTAGTCTTGAAAGGGTGAATTCCTTTCGCATCAAGAGAGGGCAAAATCTCTTTTCCCCAAACATCGAAAACGCCCGTGTCTACGAATTTCCCCTGGAATGCTTTTCCTTCCCCCTATGACAAATTGAATACTACAGCACTAACAATAACCTACTTAAGTAAAGCGAGACCTTCTTTCTTGGACGCTTTCACCCTGTGTGAAGTTCCCCCTTGGGATGGGATTGCAACTTTGGGCATCAAAAGCTAAACATTGACAGTAAACAAAGGAAAGAGATAGTGCATTAAAATAATAGAACTACTTTTAGTCACTTCAAAAGAATGACGTATCATTTAACAACACATGAAAACAATGAGCAATGCAGTAATGTGATGGGGGAAAGCACCAAGTAGGAAATTATTCAGTCGTCCAGCCAATGTTTGGGCATTTGGAGAGCCTTCAATTTAAAAGAGTTACTTAAAGCGCTTTATATAGTTGTGGTAGTAGCAATGAAAATGTTAATCACGTTCCTCTTGAGTGTTTTCATAATGTCCAGCAGTCTGACACACCTGACTGTATCTTTGCCACCAATTTTTTCTGAACTTTATGGTTTAAATGAAACAATTTCTGCTTTTTACAATTTCTTTCTCAATTTAGATTACCGATTTCACAACTATTTTTACTCCCCCCCCAGCAGTGCTATTATACATTTGCCTATTTATTTTATGACTTACTTGTATAAGCCAGTTATACTTTATAAAACACAAAAAGTGACATTAGTTAACCAAGGAGGAAAGAAAGAAAAACAAAGGAGGGTACCCTTGATTATCCATGCGCGTCACAGTACCCAGGCACGCACTCAACATTATGTGCAAAAGTAATACAAATTAAATCCAAATAACATCGATTCGATCAGGAAGAAAGATTCTTCCTAATACAGGAGTCAGAGATTTATCTAATTGTGAAGAAGTTGAAGTAATAACTGAAATCATATTCCACAAAAACTGAAAATGTCGATCGGGAAATCATTGAAGAATGGTTCGATTCAATGGAGCCAGGCTTTCAATCCTTTAGTGATGCAGATATTCTTTTAAATGTCACAGAATGACACTAAAAGCACAAGTGAAGAAGATACTGTCAATTACATTAGTCTCCAGACAGCAACGACTCTTGTAGAAACTCTGCTGACTTTTGTTGATAAAAGAGGAATACAACGATAAAATAGCATTAAAAAAAAATATACAGTAAATTTCAACAAATACTTAATCGTTCTAAAAATTAATGTAAAAATACTTATTTTTTAAAAATATAAACACATACTGCATGCATGAATTATCCACGATAATTACTACTAATATAAGTTAGAAAAAATATTGTTCCCAGTTAATATTTCTTTCAGGTTGCAAATGGAAGAATACGAATCAGCAAGCCATGCTGGCACACACATGGATGCTCCATCTCACTTTGCGCAAGGGGGTTTGAACATAGACGAGATCCCTTTGACCAGCTTAATTGTTCCAGCAGCTGTCATCGACATCACCGAACGAGCAAACCAGGATCCAGATGCAGAACTGAATGTGGATGATCTTGTAAACTGGGAATCCATTACAGGACAAAGTTTAAATGGAACAATTGTGCTACTGAGGTCCGGTTGGGGTCTTAAATGGCAGAATCTAACAGCTTATTCTGGTTCACCTAATAATGATATCAATAGTTTGCGATATCCAGGATTCGCTCCAGCAGCCTCACAGTGGTTGATTGATAATCGAAATATTAAGGGAGTTGGTATCGATACATATTCTTTCGATCGCGGAATTTCACAAGATTATATGTCTCATATCATCCTCCTTGGAAATGGCAAATTCGGCTTGGAGAATGTAGCTAACATGGAAGAACTTCCTATCTATGGGGCTACACTATACGTAATGCCTATGAAGATGGGCAAAGCAAGTGGAGCACCAACTCGGATTATTGCCACTTTTCCAGAAGTAATTTTTAATCCATCTGTTTCTAATTAATACTACTAATAATATCATTTACAATAGTTCTTAAAAAGTGAACTGATGAAGTCAATAAATTTCAAAATACTATATATGTTCTGCTGTTTATTAATATCCAAAACAAATAATGATTATTTCTTTGAAAAAACTATTGCTGGGAGACACTTCAGAAACAAACTTTCTACTTGTAATTGCCATCAATATTTTTTTATTGCTTTTAACTGTTATTATTTTAAAACCGCTGTTTGATGGGATCAGATCAGAATAGTTATTTAATTGAACTGAATCAGTTTTTTATTGGCTCATTAACAATTACCTTGAAAAAAAAATTGGGAATGAGGAATGATTTGAGAGCTGTTAGCGAAGATGAAGCTATTCTCTATATTCTCGCTAACAGGTCTCCAAAGAGAGGAATGAACAGAATGAGCAGTGGGATTGGAAGAACTGAATCAAATGCTACGTCCCTGAACTGATTTCTTTTAAATACAGTTTTCAGGTTCCCTAAAACTTTCTTTTACATAGAACTAACAAAATTCTAAAATAAAAATTTTGGAATAGTTGAGAAATGATACAAATTTAATTCACTTGAAAAGGGAGAATAAACTTTTCTTCCCTAAAATGGTAATTAAACTGTCCTTTCCTTTTTCCATCAAGAGTTCTCAGTGTGCAAATTCTAAAAGACCCACTCTCATTTAGAGAATCAGGCATTCACTCACTCAGTAGTACACAATTAGCTTGTAAACAAATATTACACTATTCCTGGCCAGCTTCCAACAAGAGCTTTCTGTGAACTATAAAACAGCTACTACTTTACAGAATCAACTGTTAATTTGCTCAGTAAAGTAAATCGGGTCCATCAATCAGTTCTGTAGACGATATTCAAACTTTCCTAAAATCTTGCCAACTGCTTAGGACTAATTAGGGGATGAGAGGGGGCAGGATAATAGCATTGGAATTGATTCATACATATGAATTAAATTGAGTACAGGGTTCGTACACATTTCTACACATGGAAATTAAGTACTTTTAAGGACCATTACTGAAAAAATTAAGGACCTATGGAGCAAATAGCAAATTAATAAATTCACTTAAAATATTATCTGTGCCTGAACTTCACTTTTGTAATACCACGCAAAAAACAATATAGATCCATAAGTGGGATGCATTATAATTAAACATAACTTAATTAACATAATTATTAATTAGTTTGAGCATAAAATATACTTTATGAAATTTATCAAACAGCATTAAATATTTTAGACTTACAGTAGTTCAGTATATTTGAAAGAACATAAGTAACATTTTATTCACATTTTACTAATAGTTAGTTTCATGTTGATTTTTTTTTTTATGTGTCATTACTTGCTCAATCTAGAGGTTTAGTAAATAGCAGGTAGATTTTGTGTCAAGCGTCATAGTTTAAAATGAGAAGTAAAATCATAATCAGAATAATTTATAATAAAAGACTGGCTACTGTCACCACTGCTCCTTATGTAGAGAGAGACCTGCTGATCAGAACAAAAGAGAGGCCTTATGTGAACACGGTTAACTAGTTTTGAAAGTTAGTTGGGCTCTGTCAGTTGTGGTTAGTGTCATAGCTCTGTGTAGAGTTCCAGGGGTTGTAACCAAGTTAATATACTTTAAGGTTCCAATAAGCCACTAAAGCACCAGAGGTGACACTAAGTTGCTTTGTAATATTTTAGGTCTCACTAGATACTAAGAATAAGTTTTACATGAATTTTTACATTTTTGTGTTTAAACCTTGTGCCACGCTAAGGAATAAGAGTAAGCAGTTAATTATAAATTAAATTAGGTAGTTAGAAAACCTTAGTCAGTATGGATTTACATGATTACTATTAAATTTTACTTATTTTTTAACAATATTGTTAAAAGTCCCTATTAAAATCACAATCTAATAAAATTTCACAATCTAATAAAATTAAAATACATGCAATTTATGTCATTGATTCTTAAACAATATTATTATAATTATATATTAAAAGCTACAAAACATTTATGTTTTGTAGCTTTTAATGACTTTTGTAGCTACAAAACATTTATGACTTGTAGTCATTAAAAAGTCATTAAAAGCTACAAAACATTTATGTTTTGTTTAATTTTTATGTTAACATTTAACATTTATGTTAACATTGTTAAACATTTATGTTTTAATGACTTTTGTAGCTACAAAACATTTATGTTTTGTAGCAATAACACTCAACAAAATATTTATGCATCTTTTTAATTTGAAGCCTTCCCAGACATTTTGGCTTAATTTATATCAATTTTCTTCTCTTTAAACATCTTTCCTAACAATTAAAAATCTGTTTGAATACATAAACCAATGTTCTGACTAGTTTCTGCGTACTTTATCTCCTAAGTTGTCAACCTCTCCACAATGTACCTATGAGGGTTTAATTGATCTGGTAAAAGTTAAATAGTCCCAAAACTCCCTACAGATGTGAAGCAAGTTATCGCTATGTCTCAAAGTAACTAAAAAGTCAGAGAAACGTTTAAATAAGCCTCTTATTTAAAAAGAACTTAAAGGTGTGTTCTTATGCTAACCAATTCAAATGCAATTTATGGTGATGTAATTAGACAAGAACAATCAAATTCTAACAAAAAAATGTGGACAAGTGGTCAAAGACTATACAATTTAATTTTAATTTAAGCTGGCTCAGTAACTCTATCGTCATAACAAATTCAAATGTCAGCAGCGATAATGCAAAGACAAAAAGTTGCAAATTATCAGAGCTGGCAGGAACTAATGCAACGAGCAAGCGGAGATTAAAAACACATTCTATCTTACACGCCAAAAACCTCAGTTTAAAAACTGTTTAGGCGATTTGCATTCTGGGGAGGAAATAGAAACGGGAAATTATAGTAAAGGCTGAAATTATAAACAACTGGGTAATTTACATAATAATATCTGTATATATATTTGAAGAATAATTTTCTTTCTCTGTATGTTCTCAGTTTCTTTCTTCAACACGCTTCCTTTTCATTTTAGAATTTTTGGACTTAATTAAACATTCAGGAAAAATAGGAAATACTATATGTGGAAAGGGCCGGTTACAGAGCCAATATGGCAGAATTTTTAGAATTTAATGTCACACACGAGCAACAAAATGTAGAAATAGCAAAACTTTTAGAATTTAGAGCAGGCACTGGAAGCAGAATTTAGAAAGGCACTAGTCAGCAAAATTTAGGATCTACAGAGATAAGTTTAATATTCCATGTGATTGCACCAGGTGGGAATGCCTAGCTTCAGACCTGTGTATGATGCATTAAGTCATATTAGATGAATCTTTTAAATTGCCAGTTTTCAATTTCTTTATTAATAAAATAATTCCTTTCTATAATGCCTGTCCATGTCATAAGATTTAGAAGCATTTTTAATATTTTTCACACTTGTGTCTAAGAGAAAAGTAGAGAAAATAAAGGGAAGAAAAGCATGTTAAGAAAAAGATTCTAGTATCATAAGTAAAGCATTCAAATATTATGTTTTCATTGTTCTTCCAGATGTTCTCCAAAAAGTAAGAAATTCATTGCAAACTTTCTGCAAAATACATCCATTACGTGTTAATACCATAGAGAAATTTTTCATTTTGTCACAATTTTCTAAAATATTCTGGAATGATGGGTCTATAAATCTTGCTTTCAAATCCTTCTAAACTTTCCAAGTTGTAATGTCTAATGTCCGGAAGAAATTTACGCCTACCAATTTTGTAACAGCAAACAGCCAGAAATATTTTTTAAAAAAATCAAATGGAAAAAGTGTGAAATTAATTTTATAGAGAAAACTTATGCATATTCTGAGAATTCTGAACACTCTGAGAAAACTCTTATCATGAAAAAAATTAAAAAGAAGATTTTTTTTAATTAATGTTATTTTTTAAATATAATTTCAATATATTACCATTATTTTAATATTTATTAATGTTAAGAATGTTAAAAAAATCGTCGAAAAATTCCCAAATCATGGAAACTAAAATTTTCTATAGAAACTATACCCCCCTTATCTTTAGCTTTATTACAATCATTACTTTCTTCACACTTACACCAGATAAAATTCAAGGGCAAAATGACAAAATATTCAAAAATTGCATATCTTCCCCACACAGCATAAAAATATCCAACGTTAAAATTCATTATTAGAACTTATATAAAGTTCATTCAAGCTTACTATAATCAATAGCATAGATTAAAATGTGCCTAAAAAGCATCACAATGCCAATCCATTAATCATTTTTTACCATCTCCATTTAATTTGAAATCTAGCTCTTATGGAGAGGCTGAATGTTCAAAGAAGCAAATTAAAAAATCAGTAATTCTGATCTAATTAAGAGATTTTATTAATAATGTACATAATCTGCTTAGTGTGTTGTAAATAAAGCAAAAGGTCTAATTTGGGCATCTTATGCCGCATTTCATGCGGTATGCAGCTCGATTTTGGGACCTCAAAATTGAAAAAAAATTATTTGGTTAATGGACTGGTTTTTATCAGATTACTGGATCTCAATTTAATAAGCAAAAAAAAAATTACCTTAAGTTATTGTAATCAACATTTATTCAGTATGCAACTCATCATCACTGTCAGAACTCCCATCTTATTTTCCCTAAAGTACACAACAGATTAAAATGAAATATTGGGTATAAGATGCCCAAATCACTTTTATTGCAGAGTCTTGTCCTGAAAAAATTCTTTTGTGGTTCACTCAGGAGAAAACTCCTTTGTTAGGAACTAGAAACGATTTTATTTGAAATCTTAATACCTCTTTGTTAACGAACAGGGGAAACAGTAGAATAAATTGCAGTGAGCCTTCATATGGAATTCCAAATGTTGTGATATTTTACAGAAACAGGCTACTTAAAGAAACATACTAAGGGTTAACGCGCGTTAGTATGCAGCTTGCCTTGTTGAAAGTCTTTCACCACTGTACAAGAGGCACCCAGTTTTCAGACACAAATTATTAAAGAAAAATGTGTTATAAACCAGGAAATATGGTATATATATATATATTTTTCTTTCTTTTCAAATTTCATTATGTACAGGGATGCAAATATACCTCTTTGCCTCAGAAGGAAAATATGTATTCTCTACCCTACAAGTTAGAATAGAATTTTCTTTTTCATTTGGCTTTTCTATCATAAATTCCAATTTTTATACACTCAACTAGTCGGAATTTGGCATTTCCAGAACTTTTCAGATAGTCAAGCTTTTATTTTGTCTTAGAAGTTAAATGATTTCTTAAATGCATTACAAAATAAGTATGACTTTTAAACGAAATTTATATATGGAAAATCACACCATCTCATTCTGGAAAATAAATATTATACCAAATAACAAATTAAAAGAATTCAGCTGTAAGGAATGAAGGAAAATGAATAACACTTTTTTAAGAAAATGTGTAGTGCAGTAAGTGAAAACCGAAATAAAATGAACATAAAAAACAAAAGACATGGAATGCATTTTATTCAAAACAAGAACCATTTTTCATCCAGTATACATAAAAATGCTTGCTTAACAGATTAAATACTTAAATTAGGAAATATTCCTAATTTTCTTTCACATTCCTCTTAAAATATTTCAAATTTTATACATAATGAATGTAATGGAAGTATTTTTGAATAACAAGAAAAGAAATCAAGGATTATTTTTAAATGTCTCAATTATATTTTAACAATGGAAAAGATATTCACACAATTCAATACTGAAAAGTACAAAAAAAAAAAGTACTTCTCACATTGCAGGTCACTGATCCCAACAAATGGCAAATCATTTGAAGAATTTTAATACCTTTCAATTCATTGATGAAAATATTAGATTTGCATTCCATAGTAAAATATGGACTATTTAATTACATTTAATAAATGTTTGTGCTAATGGGATAAGTGGATGATTATTTGTTAAAAATTATGAGCTCTGATGTTCCATGATTATGACTGCTTTTCATACAAAAGTCAAATGTAAAAAAAATGCATCCATTTTGGTTCTCAAAAGTAGGGTCGCCTGGTAGCAGATGGAGGAGCTAATCTTGATGATCTACGAGAAAATAAACATGTAAATGACACATTTCTGCATTTACCTTCAATAAAAATGAATTCAAAGCTTGTAAGTAATACCACTCATACATTTAAGAAGCTCAGAGTTAATAATACAAGGATGGCTTCAATCCCATTTCAGAAATCCTGAAAATTACCATGGATTAAAAATCCAACACTAATTCGAATAACTCAGAATATTAATGCACATACATAAAATTATACATTAAACATTTTCAAAAAATTTCATTAGTGAAGCAAAAAGTATAATTTCTTCAATTTATAAAAATTCAATTATGTTTTAATACATCATTTCACACAATTATGTACATTTTTTTTGGTTTCTCAACATTTTTGCATATAATTAGATTAAGCTTGTTTTTCAGAAAGAATTTCTGTTTTTATATTTTTCTTTGCTAATAATTTAAAGTTCAGTATGATAAGAAATTCCTTTTGAGGCAGACAGTGGCTTTCTTTTAAAACAAAATTACACATTTTAAAACAATCTGCATATCAAGCAGGCACTGGAGATGAGGAACTACCAGAAAGAGCAGAATGTAAAGAACTTTTGTAAATTGTCTAATTATTCAATCCGTTATCCCTAGAATCTTTATCAGTGGGTTCTTAGCGATTTTCCACCTTAAAAGCTTCCCATTTATTTTTGTGAAACAAGATTAAATATTTTACAGTCTCTGTAACTGGCTATCAGTGTTACAGGATGTTCTGCATTCTATCATTATATCACCCTCACAACTGCCTTGATAGCCATAGCAATCTTGAAATCTTAAAAACCAGGAGATTTACACTGGGCAGTGTACTATAAATTGCAGTAAATAAAATTAAATGCAAATACTAACTGATTAAATATTGCTTGAATCTTCATATATAAAAATCTACAGCTGTCTACATTAGATTAAAAGGATTCAGATAAAATAAAATTTAATAAGAACAATAAAATGTAATGAGAAAAAAATAAAATTCAACGAGAAGAATTATTTTGAAAATCATTAGAGCTGGAAAACGGAATTTGCCTAATTTTTAAATCTCAATAATTCAATAAATTCCATTTATTGTTGAAAAACATTTCACTCAAGCTAAAAATTAAAAACAAAGAGATTTTTTGATCTAATGAGAAACCGGATGATGAGATGGAAATCTAGGAGAGATTGCAGTACTAGCATCCACATAATTAAACGAACTTTTAATAAAATGCCTATGGAAGTTAAAACAGATTAAACCAGTTTTAAATATGCTAGGTATTTCTGTTTTCCATCGTCTCTCAGCCCAAAAGTTTACAATTTAAATTTAAAAATAATTTATGGATAATAAAACTATGAATACTAATATAAAACAATATTTCCATTAGGAAGAGATCTTCTAAAATTTTCTAATTACAAAATGACATTCCTTTACTTAGTTTATGTTTCATTATGCATTAAAAAAATACACTTGACTAAATAACACACACAAAATAAATAAAACCTAAATACAACTATATAAACAAAAATATTTACACAAGTTTACAGAATAAACTAAAAATATTAAATATTTACTTTAAATATATATGTATGTGAATTACGTATTACATTCACATTCGATAACACATTCATAAAGATTCTGCATCAGAATCATGGAGTCTGATAAATTATTGCATATTTCCGGCTTCTGGACAGCCATTTCAAGAAATGGCCAGACTGAGTGGAAATGTTACATAATTCCAAGTAATTACATAAAAATAAAATACTTACTCTCCAATACCATCGCTGTACCAGTAAGACCTACAAAAAGTACAAAATTAAACATTAGAATTGATTGATTTCATACATACAAATAATATGCAATCAAAGATTAAAAAGTTTTCATTAATACTGATTCAATGTTTAACAAAAGGCTAAAGCTAACAGTCATACTTGGCATAATGCTGATAAAACATTGAACGCTTTTCAAGGGAAAATAATGGATATTCATTGTGTATGAAATGATCTTAAAAATCCATTTTTGGCAAAAAAAAAAAAAAATTATTTCAAAATAAAAAATGATTCAATAGCAAGTAAATTTATTTAATAACAAGTTGTAGTCATTAAATATGTTTGCAAAGCTATTGTGTAAAACTGTTACATTTTTCTATGCATCTACTATTCAATAAAGCAGAAACATTTTTTACAGAAAAACATAAAATTTTATTCACATTATCTGGCACTGTCAAAATGCCAGACCAGCCAAATTACTGGACTGTTGCACTGCGGATAAAACACCTCATTGCTTATATATTTCCAATACTGCAGATAAAGCAATCCCTCTTGGTGCAAAATAAAAAAGTTGTCAAAGAAAGTAATTTAGAAATTGCCCCAAAACAAAAAGCATGCAATCAAACTTTTTGAAAGAAAAGGCATCATTCATGACAGAAAAATATGCTAGAAAAACGAGATGAAATTGTGTTTATCCATAACTCGAAAGCAAAATGGCACTGCAAGAAAGAACCCCGTAATAAGAAGGATTAAAATTGGTTCAAAGGAATCAAAACTGCCCTAAGAGGTTCATCTATTTTTCGTATTAAGAAATGATATATATTGAATTTTGTAAACTCCGAAGGAAGATGAGCCACAATGCAACTGTAGACTGGAAACAGTTATATGCATAAAGTATGTGCTACAACTTTAATTATTTAGCATATGTTGAAATTTGGCGTATAACAAAATTACTGAAACAGACGAACAACTTTTCACTTTAAGCAAGAAGAATAACGCTGGGCATGATCTTCCACCACAATGGGTAGATTGCGCACAGAATCCAAGTCACTGTTCTAAACTAATTGGCAAAACCGTTATTGAATGTCATAAAGAAACATTGCAGGACACATTATTTATACTGATACCAAGGAAGCAAATAAGTTAGATAAACTACAAAATGCTGGCTTGAACATTTTATTGTAAACCACAAACATAATTATGTGGATCCCAAACACAAACAATTGCTCAACTGCACCTCGATTTTTATTTGTCCATAGTTATATGTAAAAATGATTACACAAAAAAGGGTAAGGAAATCTTCTCTGCAATGTTGAAAAAAAAAAAATTGTATGCCTTTTATTATTGCAATGGATTGTCATAAGAAAATTACATATTGTTACTTGCATACGGTTTCATTATGCACTGAATGCACATAGAACTGATGAAATATATTTTTCAAAAAATGCTTTACAATTCTGGAATTCTCCCCCCCCCAAAAAAAAACTTCTAGGTATGAAAAAATACAATCAGTAGTTATCACTTCAAAATAAGAATACTGAAAGCAAGGCAATAAGTGAAAACTCGCATAATCTTTCAATAACCTAAACTGAAAACTGATACTACCTTGAGTCTTACGTAATTTTCACGCAATCTGCAAAAAAAATTTCAGTATTTTTGATTTCTTGAGATTGCTGGAAGGCAAACATAGTTACATAGGGATCAGATAAAAATGTTGCTGAGTTTGGCAAGTTGTTGCCAAATTTTCTCATCAAATTTGGCATCAAAAATAAGTCGCCAAAATCATCACCTGCTTTGCAATATATCGCAAGATAGCCACATGTTAAATGAAGCCGGTAACAATTTTTCAGATGGCACTTCTCCCTCAAAACCTTTCTTGTTACATTATACAAGGGATACTATAATTTAAATATAATTTGACTAAAATTGCACTAATCATCAAAATTAAAGGATAATGACAAAAATAAAACATAAATTATACTTAATGAAAAAAATATTAATAGAAATTTATACGAAAGCATTAGTTAACATAAATTACACTGTTTCACAGTTAATTATTCGTGAAATATTGAAATTAAAACCAAATTTATGGAAACTGGAAAATGATTGAAAAATTAAGTCATTTTTTGTAGAATTTTTTTTAATATGTTATATGGTCACCTATGATAGATATGCATACCTCACATCTTGATTTCATATACTTTACCAAACTGTTGATCAGTCTTGTGAAATTGCACTTTCCAGCTCCTCAAGGGTCCGGGAGAAAAGTCTGCCATGCTGAAATTCGGCGCCCTAAAGCATCCTAGGCATTCTTAATCGGGTTCACATCAAGTGAGTAAGGTGGGCAATCCATTCAAGTGATAGCTCTCGTTTGCAAGTATTCTGACACCACATATACTCGATGAGGCAAAGCATGGTTATCCATTAGCAAAAATCCTGGGCCAACAGCACCCCTACACAGTTTCACTTTGGGTTCTAACACCTTGTTTACATATACGAGCTCTTGACTTAATGTTTCGTTTTTCCTCATGCAAATTAGATTAGAGGTCAATCGGCAATAAACTAACATGGTCGGGATTGGCCAATGTTGCGTATCTATACGCTAGAATCGGTGAATGCCAGGATTTACTGATTTTTCTTCTCTCATTGGCTTTAATGTAAAGGCAGCTTACTGATTTTTCTTCTCTCATTGGCTTTAATGTAAAGGCAGCCTACTTGTATTAATTTAAGACATGAAACAAATAGTAGTTTTATTTTAGATTAATCCCGATTTTTATTTAAGAAAGACAAAGTACGCTTTAGCTACAACTCCAACACCAACATGAGTAGTTAACATCCTTGAAAGATATGCAGCTCAGTGCGGCCATTTGTCACGATAAACTGTGGCCACGAAAAATAGACACCGTATTTGACAGCATATAAGACGCACCCTTATTTATAAGGCCACACACAAGATAAAAAAGTTTTAATAGTATGCACGACAGCACGGTACCACAATAACTTAAAATGTGGTTTCTTTTAGTTCTCACGTTTCGTAAAAGCCAAATAAACAATCATTGAATGCATTTACCAAACATATTTTTATTAAGGAAAATTAACAAACGGCAAGTTATTTTGAACGTGATATGTAAATTTCAATAATGAATAAATGAATGAACGGCAAGCAATCAAACATAATACAAAATAAAACAGAAACAACAAAAACACAGATTCAAGGAAAACGTTGCCTATCATGAAATTAGACTTTAATCACTTTCAAAACCATAAAAATCCTTTTCACTATCATCATCATCAAAAACGAGAATATCGTCATCACTAACCGTTTCCGTCATCGCTAGTACAGTCAAAAGTTGTTAATTCAGACACCCATAATTCGGAATGATCTATAATCCGGACCTCAAAACTAAAAACTTTCTGCGCATGTGCCGCGTTGACACATGCACATAGGCGTTTACGTGTGCGCGTAAGACCTTTTACGACTGCGCATATGAGTGTGCGCAAGTGCAGAATACGTTTTCGCGTGCGCGTTTTATGTATAATGGACGTATAAGCTAAAATTATCTAATTAATTTTCAGTTAATGTTTATGATTGCGTTGTTCCTTAATTTTCGAATTGGATCCAGCTTATTATTTTTTGCAGACTGTAAGAGCAATTTTATAAAAGTAAGCTTAAACTTTCGATTATATCAAATAGAATTTCCAATATATATTTGTTAATATGTAAAGGATCTAAAGCGAAAGTATGTTTTGAAATCCGAAATCTGTTTATCAATTTCACGCTGCTCGGGGGGCGCGTAATGAATTGGAAGTTGATCTGTCAGCACTATCCTTATCTTCAGCACAGATGTTTTTATTTTATTTGGCTTATAATTCCTTACCAAATGTAGTATTTCATCTCGTTATGCTCCATCTTTGATATGATTTAAAACAAGTTCCTCCTCATTATAATTCGTTTCCGATAGCGAAGAAAAGTGACAGAGGTTATTGAAAACAAAAAAATTTCTATTGACAAATTAGTCGGTGTTCTCGACACAGCAATTATAGGACTTGAACAGCGGAACTTTGTAACTGAACAAGAAATTATGTCTGTTTAATAGAATTAAAGAGAAAGTATTATCACATGAAACGAAGCAAAACTTAAACAACTTACATTGAAAGAAATGTTTAATAAAGTAAACAAATAAATATTAAGCTTTTTCTTTTTGCAAATTTTGATACCCTTTAGATCATAATTGTTCTTTTTTCATAAATTACGGTTTCATATTTTTAATTTTAGAATTTCTGCATGCCATCTTACGAGATTTAAACTGATGATCTATAATCCGGAATCGTCGAAGTCCCGACGATTCCGGATTAACGACTTTTGACTGTATCACCTTCTTCGAATAATGCATCGTCTTCTGTTCCATCAAGAGCATTACTGATTCCGCACTTCTTAAAGGACTTAACAATTACTTCAGCCTTTACGTCCTTCTGAAGATCTTTTTACCCACTCGCAGACTTGTGAAATAGAGGGCCACTTCATTCTACCTGAGGGTATGAGGGCGTGATGTGGCTCTCCTAATCACTTGTTCCATCGTTCTTGCACTTTCTTTAAATGGCTCATTCACCGATACATCTAAAGGCTGCAATTGGCTCGTCAATCCACCAGGAATGACAGCTATCTGGGTTTTGAATTCTCTCACTTTATTCTTTATGGTTTCAGTTCTATGGGCGCTAAACTGATCCAAAACCAAAAGAGAGGGTTTTCTTAAGAGTCCACCAGGTCACCTCGCCCATACGCTCTGTAACCACAGTTTCATTCCAGCTTCGTCCATCCAGCCTTTCGGATGAAGATGAACAATTACACCCGTTGGAAGTTTTTCTTTCGGATGAGTTTTTCTTTTGAAAAAGAAAAACGGCGGTAGTTTTGTGCCATCAGCACAACATGTTAGAACTACTGTATATCTGGTTTTTTCATAACCTGTGGTTTTTATGGTTATTGATTTAGTCCCTTTAATACTCACAGTCTTGTTGGACGGTACATCAATATGAGTAGAATTTCATCCTTATTTCCTATTTGACCGAGCTCAAAAGAAGTTTTCTTGCGTGCATTTATAACAAACCTATTAAATGCTAGTATTTTTTCTTCATAATCTGCTGGCATTTTCTATGCAATAGTTGTTTTTGTGCGCATTGATAAGCCTTGCCTTTTCATGAACCTATAGCCCCAGCCCTCAAACCCTGAAAAGTTCTGATTCCCATGTTTTTCTGCAAATCCTTTGGCCTCATTGATTATCATTTTGGTTGAAACACTTATCCCATATTTCCTCTTATCTATCACCCACATTTTTATGGCATTTTTAAGTTCAGGCCAAGATGGAGCTGGGCATCAAAGGTTATGTTTTTGTTTTTTAGCAGTCTTCAGTTGATCTTCCTGCAGTCGCCAAGTACGTATCATTTTTTCAGTAGGTGGTAGACCTAAATGCCTTGCTACTGCTCTGTTTTCATGCACTTTGGCATAGTTTAACACTTCTGGTTTATACTGAATTGTATAGCTTAATCTCTTGTAGTCATATTTTCCAGGGTATTTTTTTTTTTAACAAATAGTTTTAAGGACCGATACCGACACGTTTATACAAAGTAGCACCGATACCGACACATGTGTTGGCTGAGTCAAAGAAAGTCTATGTAAAGAAGGAAAGGCTCCATAGACGTAATGTGATCGGCGAACATGTTCGAACTTCGACATAAGCTTTGAGCTTTGGCGCTTTTTGGCAACAGATATTTCACGCATGTGCAAAATAATTATGGCAGATGTAGAAAAAGTTATGTGTGTCTAGGCCTTTATCCAGGCTAAAAATAACATTCAGTATCGAAAGTTAACCTGTCTCCTTCACGTATCAGACGCAGGTAACTTTTTTGAGACCAAATTTAGGAAAATAAGTGCGTCTTATATGCCGCCAAATACGGTATTTCATGGACAAGGGAAGGCAAGTTGTGTGTTCCTTCCTCTCTCCACATCAAAATACATCTAGAACTACTGTTCAGACTATACCCAAGCTTGTCAGTAAACAAAACTTGAGTCCAATCGTCTTGGCTCCACTGAACATGACAGCACCAGTTTAAATGGGTTCCTCTGGAATTTGGAGTGAGTGGGACACAAACCATTGGTTTTCTTGCATAGAGTCGAACCTTATTAAGTCTTCATGCAGCAGTAGAATGGCTAATTTGAGTTCCTGCAGCAGCCAGGGTTAAAACCAAATCTCTTGCAGTCACTTCATGGTTTCTTCGAGCTGACAACAGAAAACGTTCTTCTGATGTAGTTGTTGCCCCTGACCAGGCTGTCTATCAATTGATCCAATGCTTAAAAAGTGGCCCCAAACTCTTGACACATTGATAGATATTAACATCTTAAACAACTTTCATTTATGTTTGACCTCCTTCAATTCTACATTTGACTTCACATAAATTATGCCGGTGAGCCATAACTACTAAATGCTAATCACTGTCAGAAACCACATTCACTTTAAGCAACACTACAGACTGAAATTTCAACCTGCCTTTATTGTAGACAACATTGTCATTCACTGAATTTGTGCATTTCTTGCACTAACATACATGCGGAAATGCAATCTTGAGTTCAATTGTATTTAACTAATATAAATAATTACAGCATTAACTTAGTGAGCATATTTTTTCCATTATCCTTTGATTTTGATGTTCAGTGTATTTACATGTAAGCAAAATTCACAACAAATGTAATTAATGTTTCATCTAAATTAAAATAATATTCTTAGATAGTTACTTACAATTAAGCTTCCTTCCTTGCATTAGGGTTACCGTAACTATTGTTTGCATCACTGCAATCTACAGTACTTCGGCAATTTACAGTCTTGATAACATAATTGTAGCCCCCCCCCAAAAAATAAGTTTTTTTTAAACCTTAGAAGAAAGCATTTACTCTAAATCCTTTCTGATAAGCTTTGCAGTCAAAATAAACAATACAAATAATCAATCAATAAAAAACTTACATCATTCAATAACACATGGAATAAATATAAAAGTAAATACAAATAATCAATAAAAAATTTACAACATACAAAGGAAAAAATTCCAGCCTGTGGATAATATTGGATAAGCTTAATGCTATTCCAAGCATTATTCATTTGGTCTAAAAACTGCAAACTTCTATATCATTCTATGCAGAGAGATTTCAGTTTTATTCAAAGAAATGAAAATGTAAGACTAAATGTAAGTTTTTATTTTTACCTTGAAGGTGCAGAAATTGGAGGTGGAGGTGATCTGCGAGAGTACAAATAATCACTAGCTGTTGGATATGAAGAGGGTCTTCTTTCATACAAATCTCGAGGTGGTATTGATGGCCGTGCATACGGATCTCTCGAAGGAACTGAATAAAGTGAAGAACGATAATCATACTCATCCCTCAGGCCCATAGATAATGAATGACGTTCATATGGCATTGGATAAGGCCTCATTCTTGAACTCATACTGCCACCATAAGGACGCTCTGGATAAAAATCACGACCTCCACCAAATGAAGGTCCATCAAATCTTCCTCTGTAACCATTGGCAAATCCACTACCTCGTTGAGGCCCTCCATATCCACCACCATAATTTCCTCGACTACCTCTGAAATTGAAATTACAGTTTCGTATAGCATATTCAGGAAAGAGAAAGCTAAGAGTTAAATTTAAATTTGTCTTTACTATGGCAGTTATCTATGATAAATAGATTTACAATAACTCAAGTCCTAATAAAAGTAAACAATATTTGAAGTAATCAAAAAATGTATTTCAGCACATGCCTATTGACAGTATTAACCTTTTCACATGAGCTACAGAGATTAATTTTTGAAGTATTAAAGTCAATTAGGCAACTAACTATTCAGTCAGTAAGGATCAGAACAATAAATCAATAGGGCCTCCTATTTCCTGCACCATATTAAAAACAAATTCAATCACTATAATAAACTCAATTTCATTGACCCTTATTTAATATACTGAATGTGTAGGACATACACATACCAGCCACACAGGAAAAGGTTCACGCTGACTTCGAAAATGTTTTCTGAATTTCTCAAAACTGTTATTGGAGTTTCCACTCTGATCAGCAATCATGTAATTTTAATCAAAAGTTAACCAAAAGATTTAATAAATACCAAAATGAATCATGAATTATTTTTAGCCCAAATAGGACTCGAAATGTGATTTTTGGCTATCTCGCTTTTCATTCAAGTTTGTTGCCATTTGACAAGATATAACTTAGTTATCTTTTAAATTGAATTTGTCCATTATTGATTAACACACCATACTATTTAAAAGCAAGAAATTCTTAAGAATATAAATTTAAATTTTTTTAATCCAGCTGATTTAAAAAAAGCTCTGCTGTGGCAAAATAAATGTTATCCAAATATTATGAGTAATCAAATAATGTATTCACGAAGTGTTAATCAAAAAGTCACATAATAATCTGGATACTTAGTTTTGTTAAAATGTTTTGGAAGACGGAAGTTTGTTGTAATAATTTTTTGTTTTAAATGAATATATAGCATAAGAATTACTGTTTGCATTTGGAAATTATTTAGCAAAACATATTAACAGTTTCATAGTTGAAATGATCATGGCAAGCTGCTAATGTTAATGAAAAGCTCTGTTAAGAATTTAAAAATTTTATAATTTTGAAATATCCTTAGAAGAAAGCATTTAATCTTTTTAAATGTTATTAAAACAATAGAAATGCATGGAACAGTTTAAAATGCACTGAAGTCCAGAACGCATTACAAGATAAATACAAAGAAATCAGAAATTTATCCTAAGAAAAATCAATCAAAACCCCAAAATTAGTGTTGTAAAACTTGCGAGAGATTTAGAGCAATTTTTGATCATCTCTGAAACTGTTAGAAGAGTCATTAAAATTAATGGATATAATGGGCGATCAGCAAGAAGATTCTTCATCAACAAGAAAATGAGAAAAATAAGCCTGGTGCTCATAAAATTTATCGTAAGCAAATATTTAAATACTGGGACAATGTTAAGTTTGAAATGAGTCAATATTCAATATATTTAGGTTCAATGGATGAATTATTATGGTGCAAAACCTATATAAAGCCTTGAATATGAAATATACTGTTACGAAATGTCCAGGTGCAGTAAGAGTTTCCCCGCAAAACACGTGTAGGGTTGCCACATTTGGAGAAATAGCCCATTTGGCGACATGCCATTGACGGATGGAGAACTTTCTGGAACGAATTCTTACCGGTTTAGCCCAGAATGTTCTCAAACACAAGCCAAAAGCTATATAAATTCTGCTGGTACACGCAGAGTCAATCGAGTTGGCAGTCGGTCAGCGAGTCACAAGTGCACCGCAAGAGTTTCTTAGTGTATCGCAGTTAGTGCATCGTCGAGAGAATATGCTGAACTCCAGGAACGACTGAATCGAGGAGTCGGGAGTTGTACTTTAGTATAATATCGTCGAATGCAACTCGTGTTGTAGCGTGGAGAGTCTCAAGAGTATGTGGAGTTCTGAGAACGACCGAGCAGTCAGGAATTGTACTCTGGTGCTTTGCACTGCTCCACCGTTATTGCCCGACAGTTTGAAGGCTGTGTCGCTTATTGTTTCAGCATGTTTACAGTAATTCTTTGATGACTGTAGTCGAAGTGTTTTGGAGCTGTCCCGAGAACACTGACCAATAAAGTTGTAACTTTTGATTAAAATTACATGATTGCTGATCAGAGTGGAAAGTCCAATAACAGTTTTGAGAAATTCAGAAAACATTTTCAAAGTCAACATTTTCGATACTTTATCAAGTGCTGTCATTGTTTTTCACTCCAAATCCACACGAACCCCGTACCAAAGTGAAGTAAGAAAATATCGTAATAATATGTTAATTAACCTATTAAATTTAAGCAAGGGAATGAAGCCCTAATGATTTGAGAATGTTTTACTGAATCTGAGTAGAAATTTTCTTTTTATAGAAAATAATACATATCAGTATTAATCTATAAATATTCTTAACGAAAACTTACAACGCTAATCACATTCAAATTCTACTCAGGATAACGATCCTAAATATATAGCTCTTAATGTTCGCCTGTGGTTATCATACAGCTGTCCTGAAGTAATCAAAACTCCTCTATATTTTTAGGACTAAAATCCTATTAAACATATATGAAGTGAGTCATAGAAAAGAATAAGGTAACATGACATTTCTTTGAACCCTCTACCAGAAGTAATCCTTATGAAAGAATAGAACTAAATAATCTTACATGAAAAAATTAGCTGAACTTAAGAGTGCACGAAAAGTGTAATATCTGCTAAAGGATATCTAATGAAGTATTTTATGTCCCATTATTTTCAGAATTTTTTAATACATTAATTTTTTTAATGAAAAACATTTTTCAAAACAGGCAAGTTCTAAAACTTAATCAATATCAATCAATCAATGTTATAAGTGATATAAGTCAATATTGTAATTATACAAGTGAAACAATATTATAAGTGAAAGAAAAATTTGCTAAGTCATTTTGCTAATACAGTCAAAAGTCGTTAATCCGGACTCATCGGGACTTCGGCGATTCCGGATTATCGATCATCAGTTTAAATCTCGTAAGATGGCATACAGAAATTCTAAAATTAAAAACATGAAACCGTAATTTATGAAAAAAGAACAATTATGATCTAAAGGGTATCAAAATTTGCAAAAAGAAAAAGCTTAATATTTATTTGTTTACTTTATTAAACATTTCTTTCAATGTAAGTTGTTTAAGTTTTGCTTCGTTTCATGTGATAATACTTTCTCTTTAATTCTATTAAACAGACATAATTTCTTGTTCAGTTACAAAGTTCCGCTGTTCAAGTCCTATAATTGCTGTGTCGAGAACACCGACTAATTTGTCAATAGAAATTTTTTTGTTTTCAATAACCTCTGTCACTTTTCTTCGCTATCGGAAACGAATTATAATGAGGAGGAACTTGTTTTAAATCATATCAAAGATGGAGCATAACGAGATGAAATACTACATTTGGTAAGGAATTATAAGCCAAATAAAATAAAAACATCTGTGCTGAAGATAAGGATAGTGCTGACAGATCAACTTCCAATTCATTACGCGCCCCCCGAGCAGCGTGAAATTGATAAACAGATTTCGGATTTCAAAACATACTTTCGCTTTAGATCCTTTACATATTAACAAATATATATTGGAAATTCTATAATTCTATTTGATATAATCGAAAGTTTAAGCTTACTTTTATAAAATTGCTCTTACAGTCTGCAAAAAATAATAAGCCGGATCCAATTCGAAAATTAAGGAACAACGCAATCATCAACATTAACTGAAATAGATAATTAGATAATTTTAGCTTATACGTCCATTATACATAAAACGCAACGTATTCTGCACTTGCGCACACTTATATGCGCAGTCGTAAAAGGTCTTACGCGCACGCGTAAACGCATACGCGCATGTGTCAACGCGGCGCATGCGCAGAAAGTTTTTAGTTTTGAGGTCCGGATTATAGATCATCCCGAATTAACGACTTTTGACTGTATTTAGTAACTACTATTTGCAAATAAAACTGAAAAACACAAGTTCTAAAAACATATGTGAGCCAAGATAGCAAATAGTAAATTTACAATTAACACGTGCATCTCCCTCCCCCCCAAAAAAAATACTTGCACTAATATAAAAAAATGCTGTAACATACCTAGATGTTCCACCCTTTGCACGTCCGGGTGCTCCTGGTTCGGGATGCAGTTTGCTTTTCGATGGCTGCAACACAATGAATATAAGATTTTCAACAAATACTGTTACAAAACAAATCTACTACAAGACATAGCTGCCAAATTTGAAATCTGAAAAACGGGGAAATTTCTGCAGGCAAACTGTGAGGTTTTCATGCTGTGTGGTGATGCCATTACAGGGTTCACAGCCACATTTTACTTAAAAAAAACAAGCACCTATAAGCACTTTTCAAGCACATTTTAAGGAAAAAATAAGCACCTGTCTAATTACATTATACACAATTGCATAACCTTAAAGAAAAATTAGACTTGTAATTTAAAATATGAGAAATGCAGTATTTATTAAGAGAATAAGCATTACCTCAACCATGGAAAACAACTTTTTTTTTTTTTTTAAATTTTAAATAACAGTTCAATTTACAGAACTAGTTTACAAAGAGAGAAAAAAAAAAAAACTATGCAGAACTAAACTATATTACAAGATTTAATGATGAAATTTCAGTTCAAAATATAGAAAATAAATAATAATAAGGCATATTTATTGTATTGCATTTGGAACCTAATAATAAATACAATTTATTTTTCCACTCATATTAATATTTAAATAATTTAACTTAAATCAAAATTCTGAATATTTTCTAAATTTTCATTGTATATCAGTTTTCTCTTAACAGATATTGCAAGCAAATGTAATTTAAGTAAAAAAGAGGAACATTTCTGAAATCAGAAGACAGAAATTTGCTTCATGCAGTCATCCTTTAACAGTAAAAGCTTCAACTAAGCCGCATACTTCGGAAACTGGCGAATATTCCGGATGAGTAACTTGGAAAAAGAGGAGTGGGAGAGATTGTAGCCGTTCTTTAGATTTTCTCGCTAAATAAATGCTTTTGACATTTTCGATATGTGAATCATATAAACATATACCAACAGAACTGAGAAATATTCTGCTTAGAAAGCACAGTAAAACTCTTTTAAGTGTTCATAAACAAATCTCAGACTGAACATCAAAATTAATTATCTCTGCAAAATACAACAAACACAGGGTTGCCACTCAAACAGGAGAATGAAATTCCCTGACTTTTCCAGGTGTGTTTCAAGGAAATTCCAGTCTATCCGCGTAATGTACGTTGGCTGTGCTAAGAGGTAAATTAATTATGGTATTACTTGTATTGTGTAGCAAATTCACTTAATTATTCAATAAATCCCAGAGGACATTTATTCTTAATTATTCTTGGTATACTTTGTTTGATAATTTTGTTTAGTTTTCCACTTAAGAAACTTAATAAAATTTAAGATATATATATTGGATAACAAATGTATGTTTTATTTAATTATTACTCATGATCATCACCAGTTCAACATGAGGCTAATCCGGTCCTTATAAATCACAACGCAATGCTAAATAGTTAGGTTAGATTTTAGGTAAATTTAATTGGCGTGAGGTATGTTCTTAAAACCTTAACACTTGAAAACACAAATATAATTATAATAGTTGTTTTCTCCACTGAAGATTGAGATTAGAATCTTCCCAATCTGGAATAAAATAAGGCTTTTTTTGCAGACATTCTGCAGCTAAACGAAAGAAATCTATTTTAATAAATTGAGGTATTTTATATTTATTTTGCAGCATACATAAGGAAAAAATATGTGCATTAAATTTCGTGATGGTATGTCATCATACTGCTATAATTAATTTCAGGATTATGCCAGAGAAAATTTCCTGAAATTTGGAAATATTTATTTACTAATAATAAATAAATTTAGAGGGAAGAAGCAACATTAAACGATACAAATAACAAATAATGAATAACATAAAAATAATTACTTAAAAATTGAATTAGAATAATTCAACGATATTTTAGCGAATATAGTATATTACATGGCTAGCCCTAGATGACTGATTACTATTTTTTTTTTTTATTTTACTGCAAAATGGCAAGGTAAGGCATTTATTAAAAAAAAGTTTTAAAAGATTTTGGCGGTAAAATTCTAGTATACGGTAAGGCCTTTGGCACGATTTTGAAAATTGTCGCCAAGACCAAAATTGACCCGTTTACTGCGCATCACAGATGTCGCCAAATCCGTGTGTACATACATGGAGGTTATTCTAACCAAAGAACGTCTATGTAAAGAAGAAAAGGTTCCATACACAGTAAAATGCTTATTATGCCGCTAGAATGCGGAGGGAAAATTTGCCAAGGGATTTGGCGACGGAAACTGGCGGTCAGAACTTCCCTCTCCGCGATGTGTACAGGAAAGGGTTGAGAAACACGTGTTAACCCTTTAAGCGGTCAATTTTTTTACCAGAATTGCTCCCAAAAAAGCATATTTTTTTATTGCATATAATAAAGTACCATACTTAATAGAATAAGAATAATAGAGTTTTTAATGTTTTTTTTTCACTTTTAATGGTTTTACAACATTTTTTATTTTACAATTTTGGAAAACAAAAACCCCTAAATGTTTGCTTTTTTCAAGCACATTTTGCATGCAGGAAAGAATGGTTTACAATTTCTATAAAAATTTTTCTCATACTTACTGTGAATTTTGAAGTTTATATTTTTCCAAACAGTTCAGAAGTCTTTTTGTGTATGGTATAATTTGAAGCATGGTGTAATGCAGAGTCCTACGTCGCAATCAAAGCAGAAATACCTTGTTTCTTTTCGTATTCTTTTTCCATTCTCATTTCTTTTAGAACAGCACACTGCGCATTGTCTTGCAGGTCTCATTTTCTTATCTGTGTGAGCAATTATTTCCAAAAAATGTCTCTCTGTCAATCTCAGAGGATTAGGCTCCGAACCTGGTCGTCCACGTCAGAAATTTTGTCCCAAATGTTTCAATTATACGGTCAACGAGATCAAGTCTAAATTCCAGTTGCGTAACGTTTTCTTTCCTCCTTTTTTACGGTAGACAACATATGAGTTCCATATAGACAATATCAAAAATGTGGAAAAACATTTTTTCTGTAACATTTTTTTACCCCTTTTCTTTGATAATTTAAAAACTCTTCAAATTTTGGTCCATGCGGTCTACTCCTCCCATAGTATTATTATAAGTCCATAACAATTTTCGGTTTTTCTTTCATATCAGAGCGGACTTGAATTTGTTCCATTTCAGTATTGAGAATTGTGGAAAGTAATGAAACTTTTTTTTTATCCATCCACTTCATCACAGTAACTTTTCCTCTCTGAAAACCTGTAATCTCTCCTTTTTTTCAATTTTCTTTTGGGGACTTCTTTTCTCTTGAGGTTTACTGTGCCGTATGTGTCCGTTCGACATGAAACTAGTTTGTCTGCTAATTCTGGCGAAGAATAATAATTGTCTATTGTAAGACAGTATCCTTTATGAAGCAAAGGCTCCATCATTGTCAGGACAATTTGTGATGAAAAGCAAAGTTTAGAATATTCAGGTTTCAGAATTGTGTCTTTACCTGTATATATTATTATTGACCAGACATAACCAGAATTGGATTCGCACAACATAAAACATTTTACTCCAAATCTAGCTCTTTTGAGTGGAATAATTGTTTCCATCCTAGTCGTCCTTTGAATAGCATAAGGCTCTATTGTTATATCTCGCTCTGGTGTCACCGTTTCACTAAATTTCTTATTGAGATGCTTTACAACTGGCCAAACTTTAATTAATTTTGGGCATTCGTGATTTTCTTTGTCAAATGCTGCATTATCAGAAAAATGCAAGTAACGTTGCAAAAGACAGAATCGACGATTAGACATTATTTTAGAGAAAAAAGGTGTATTAGTCGAATATCTTTTGTTCCAATAATGATCAATTCCAGGTTTCTTTACAATTCCTTGAAGTATATTCAGAGCGAAAAACACATGCAACTCATTCACATTTGTCTCTTCCCAAAATTTACTCTTTTGAGAATTGTTTTGCAACACTCGATTGGATGCACTGTTTAGCATATTTATTTGTCTCTTCCACAATTTTACTCACGAGTGAAGAATCAATGAATGTTTCATAAAATTCTAAAACATCAGAAGTGTCGTCAAATTGTGCGTGCACAGAAGGAATACCAGTAAATTTAAATCCAGGACACAGAACAGGTGGATTTTTCACATCAACCTCGGTAAAAATCCTTGCAGAACACAAATCTTCATCAGAGCTGAGCTCACTGAATGATTCATCTGAGGAATAATCCAAATAATTAGATGAAATATCTGTATCTGTATCAGAATGTAGTTCATCATCTAACAAGAAAGTATTTTCGTCGTTTATTCCATCCATAACTTCCATAAGAAAAGACAAGGTTTTAAATTCACAAGCGTTGAATACAGTAGAACAAAAATTTCAAAGAAAAATCCCCCCTTTCCCGCTACAAAGGAAAACCCGGATGAAAAGCATTTCAGTTACATGGACAAGTCACGCCATCTGTCGAAAAATATTAATACTAAATAGTATCTTTGCAATATTGAAAAATATGGGCAAACCAGAAAAGGAAAGGAGAAAATATCTATGCCCGTACGCCGTACGGGCAAACCGGTTGAGGCCAATTTCGGGTAGCACGTACACCGTACGGGCAAACTGCTTTAAGAGGTTAAGAAGAAACGCTCTTTGACAAAAAGAAAACCACGAAAATCCGTTTTTAAATTATTGCGAAAAATCCAAGAAGAAACGTTTTATCAAAGGACGTTTCTTCTTGGATTTTTCACAATAATTTTAAAAACGGATTTTCGTAGTTTTTTTTTTTTTTTTTCCTGAAAATAACTAATCCATGAATTAATTTACTTGCGCCAAAAAATATTTTCTTTTCCTTTAGAGTTTAACCACTTGCGCTAAGACTAAACTTCACAGTTCAATATAACAAGCCGTAAAGTGTCTCATTTACGCCGCTCCGCATCTGCGAGTGCAATCCAGAGCTGTAACTCGAGAAATAAACAATCTCGTTGTTAAGCGACGTTTGCACCACGTTATTTTCATTTTTGTGATAAATGCTTGTCGACGTGGTGTTCACGTCGCTCGCGGTTTGAGACAAAAGCATCCTGACGTGCGTTGGCACGTCTTTTA